AGGAACCGCATTTATTTGTATTTATATGTATTTATATCGGTCCCAGAAGGGAACCGATCAACTTAAAATATATTAATGATGTATTTAAATGTTAGATACCACAGACCCCCTACTGTAGTATCCTAGATTGAACCATATACTCTTTATTGGATTTCCTTTCTAAAGGTATCATGTTTATAAATGTACTATTTGTTTCTATTACTAATTGGTGGCATGCAAGGTAGAATGTAAAAGTACTACGTTGGTTTACTAACTATTATATTTACAAGCTTAAATAAAACCAAAATCATCTATATACAAAATAATAACTAAACCTATATACATAATGAATAGTTGAGAATCATACTAGAGGAGAATGCTTGATGTTTGATTAAAGTTACGTGTTATATTTATTATATTAATTAATGATGTATGGTTGCCAACACAAATTTACATTAGTATAACTAAATGCTTGTTACCACTTAGCTGGTCCTTCATAGTGTTTCTAGCTGTCATATCTGGATTCCCCGTCTCTGCTCTCCTTCAGCGTCTAGTCCGTCCATCTGCTCTCTCCGGCTGTCTTCATCTTCCTCCCTCGACTTCCCCGCTTGAAGTCCCCAGAGCAAGTCCTCTCAGCTCTGAGTCCCCAGAAGAAGTCCTCTCTCCTCCGAGTTCCAAAAAGAAGTGTCCAGTCCAAATTCTCTATCTCCCACCTTTTTTCATCCCCCTCTCTTTTGCCAGCCTTTTTCCTGATTGGCTGAATATTCTCAGCCTAAGGGATGACCACGCCCTCTCCCCCAGGCCAAGGTAAAGCAGCAGGTACAGACTTAGGTATTTCTGGTGGAAGGTGTGAAAAGGTCTTTCGGGATCCTGTTTAAACACTTGTCGGTCTTTGTCGGTGGTCCTTAAGGGTTTTTATCACCACTTACAAAAGGTTGTCCTAATGGGTTACCCTCCCTCAGGTACCCAACCGCCAGATGTTGGGTTTATACCTAAATATGTTTATATTTAGGTAATACCTAAATTACCTTAATGTTTATTTGTTTATACCTTTAAACTAATTATTCCACCGACGGTCTTTACAATACATAGCAATACAGTTCTCAATGTCCAAACTCTGAGAGGTGATTCTAGACAAAATTTCCAACATAAAGCTTGATGCATGGTCCGATTTCGAATGGAAAAAGAATTAAGTCCAACTCTGTGTTTTCTTAAAAGTTGTGGAAGAGATAATACAAAAATGATTTAATTTAGGTAATTAACAATTACTTCATAGTAAACTGACAAAATTTCCTTCAGACATAAATAAACTACAATAAGTTGTGATTTTCATCATTGATTATTCGCGATTTGTCTTATAGAAAAACTTCCTCGTTTAATAAGCTTTAAGTCCATATTAATTAAGTTGAGGTTTATTGAGAAAAAAACTTGAGAATCATCTTATTAATGAGTATAAAAATGATGCATCCGTATGAGAAAGAAAGGAATTGAATGTGACAAAAGTAATCCCTGATTAATTATTTTTGACTAATCCCTAACTTTAATCAAACATTAGATCTAACTGAACTTCTTTAAAGTAAAAGAAAATCAATTCAAGAAAGTAGAAGAAGACGAAGAAGAAGAAGAAAAATAAATTTTACTCTGTGACTAAGTCCCCTTAGAATAACTACAATGTACAATTTAATGACAATTGTCTGGCATTGTAAATAAATTAAATAACAAGATTCTATAGATCTAAGGTTATAATTAAGAAAAGGCACTATTAGATATATGAAATCATAGATAAATTCAGATATGTGAGTTCACATATTTTTACACATAAACAACGTGGGTGATATATAATTATCTTGCAGATATGAATTCAATAAAAACAATATACCAATCTGCACATTCCTGAAAATTTTCTCAAAACTAGGTCAACGGTAGGTATTATGTCCGTCATTATTTGACTAGAAGTAAAAGAACATATTTTTTTTTTCTTAATGTTTAAAACTTAAAACATGTGTGTTATGTTTCTAAACACAAATTTTTGCTTTGCTTCCCGCAAATTTATATTTATGTTCTACCCTTCAGTATTGAGGAAACAAAATAATTTATATATAGATTTTACTTTCACTTACCTGCATATGTAACATGTACTATGGGAAAGAATGTGATCGTGAATATGTGTACGTGTAGAAACAGTAATATGTGATCGTGAAAATTTTTGAATCTGAGTTTTCAAAGAGAATACATGTTTCAAGTGTTAAGTAAAAACGAAAAGTCATAAAAACTAAAATCTGCTTATTTTAGTTTTGCATATGGCTGGGATGCTACAGCAATTTTTAAAATAGACGTTAACATCGGCTAACCGTTTTCACAGTAAGTTCCACACTATATCATCGATTTTAGATATTTTTACGCTTTTCCGATTTTCTCAAACAGCTCTGATGATTTTGATTAATTTCATCACATCTCTGTAAAATAAAACTTTTTTAAAAATGTAATGTAACTCTTATTTTCATTGATAACCTCTAACAGGGATTAAATGCCTAATTTTCAAAATTTCTATACAATCGTTAAAGACAATGATAATCGAAAAAAAAGAAGCAAGTATAATACATTAGACGAGTGTGAAAAACATATGGTAATGATTGTTCCAAAAGAAGAGTGGTAAGTGAAAGTTGTGTGATACGCTCACCAGATTTTTACTATTGAAATGGAAAGCTTAAAATTTGATTGGAAAAATATTTCAACTGGCGCGCAAATGTTACATTATTTCCTAGTCAATAAAACTTTGTTATAAAGAATTTATTGTAATTATAGCAAAATCTACAAAAGAAGACATCGCTATTGATAATAAATGATAATAAACAGCTCCTTTAACGCCTTTGAAAATCAGATATCACGCAAACAATAACAGCTGTTTGTTCAACCCCGCTGTTCATTATGTCCTAATGTTTATTTAGTATTTTGGATCAGTTTTGTTGAAGGTGTATTAATCGCATGAAATTTCTAGTTTTACGCTTAAAACTACTGTTAAAAAAATACTGCTTAAAGCTGATATCTGAAACTGTTTTTGTGAAGAAATCTTTCTTCTAGAATTCGGAATTTGTTTGAAACATCCTGTGTAGCATAGACACAGACTTCGAGATGGGCGAATATAAAAATATTGAGAGGGCGAAAATATTGTTTCTATCCCTCCTCCCAATAATTTCACTTAAAAAAAAATTAAAATCAATAATAAATAAGCTATATGAATGAATAAAATGTGTAAACTAAAATCAATTAAGAAAAATCGACTAGCTGGCTAGGCCCTAAGTAGCAGGAATGTAACTATTTTATTAATACACAATTATAACCTTTATTTAAATTGTCATTTATATTCAAAGATAATATTATAAAAATACCCAATAAATATCAAAATACCCAAAGATTTTTCTATTCAATCATCTATACATTTTCATGGGATAATTTTAGGGATGTATTGTATTTTTATTTGAGGTTGTACACATTATTCTTACATTATTCATTTCTAGCTAAAAAAAGTTATAGAAATGTACAATTATTATGAAAGCTGTCTCCCCTCTCCTTTGTGTTTAATCTAAACCAGTACGTTGTGTATTCAATTGTATTCTTTTAAAGATATTTTCAGGTATGTACAATAAGTAAAACAAAACAAATATAAATAAAAATCCTTAAAACTATACAAAAATATAAACAAATTAATTTTAAATATTATATTAGTTCGTTTAAAAATAATTATGTCGAATTTTTACACATAGTAAAAAAGTCGCACTTTTTTTGGTCTTATAAGGCATTTCGTAAGTAGACCATCTAGTTTCAATATTTGTTTTTGTAAATTGGAGTGTTTATAATTACCTGATATTAAAATAAATAAAGGACTGCAATGTATGTATAATTGTGGGTTGATGATTGACTGTAGTGAATAATTGAGAGAAAGATGGTTGGGGTGATTAGTAAAAATAAAAAAAATAGCAAAAATAAATAACAATATTTATTTTTACATTTGTCGACGTTTTGGCAAATTTTTAATTTTTATTTAAGAATTAAAATTAATATGTGAAAGCTATAGACTAAAAAATGTAGGTAGAAAAAACTTAATGTAAAATGAAGTAGATAGAATGAAAATTAAAGTAAAATAAATAAGGTAGAATAATAACAATAACAGAGAACTAAGAAATAAATAATAATAACGGAAACAAAGTACGGTCCATTGAAATAAACATAGTCAAAATAAGGTAACATAAGAAATGAAAAATGGTAATTTTAGCATAAAGTGTAAAGCAGAGAAAACTTCATATTTCTTTTCTCTGTTTTAGACTTTATTTTAAGATTACCATTGTTTATTTCTTATGTTACCTTATTTTGATTATGTAGATTTCATTGGTCCGCAATAAGTTGCTGTTATTATTATTTATTTCTTAGTTCTCTGTTACTGTTATTATTCTACCTACTTTATTTTACTTTAATGTTCACTTTATCTACTTCATTTAAATATAAGTTTTTCTACCAACATGTGTTAGTCTATACCTTTCACTTTTTTATTTTAATTCTTTATTATTCATATTTATTGTTGTTTGAATTTTTATTCTTCGCTGAAGATTTGGTTATAACAATAAAAAACTCAAAAAGTTCCAATTTTTTCTGATGCAAACTTGTGAAGAGATAAAAGTGGACGAGACAGAGCAACGTCATGAGCTCTTATCGTTGATTATCTTATTTATACTTCTCACCTTAAAATAGTGTTTCCAGTTTCTAAACTGCCATCCAAAAACGTTTTTACTTTATTTTAATTCTCACTCGATCGTCTCTCAATAAAAATATTTAGTTTAAAATTTATTTATTAGCTGTTATCAAATAGAGTTATGTGAAGTTTGAAAGTATTTATTATAAACTTTTATAATACTAGCTCTTCTATTCTGGATATAAATACAGTATTGAAAAACATAGTGAAGGAGATAAAAAAAAGTAGAGAGTAGTGAACAAAACAACAAATATTTACGAACATGTGTTGAAAAGAATTTTTTAATATCACTTATTAATTATCTAAAGAATATAAATGTACACAGTAAGGTAAACAAGACGACAGGTAATAATTAAACTGTGTACATAATAGACGTAGGGGCCAGTTAATTATAATAGAAAATTGTTTACTGTTTTCTTACGCATTATGTTAATGAAATCGTAATTAGGAAAAATATTTGCTGAATATTCTATTCGTCAATACAGTGTGAAGGAAAAAAATTTCCTTTAGCAACATGGGCAAGAACCAATAGTACAGGATTTAATTTTGATGCTTTTGGGGTAGGGATACCTCATTACAACAATGATGTTCATGAATAAAGACCGGCTTTCCATGTAACTGCACATTTTAATCAGTTACTTAAAAAAAAACTTCAAACTCGATAAACTATCCGTTTCACGATTTTTGGAATAACATATTGAAATTTGATATCGCACGTTTTGCTGTTTTTGACCTAAATTGTTCAATATTGATTTTTGTAGTATTAAATTGTACATTTTCCCACTTTTTGTGCTAAACCACTAACAGATTTAAGATTTAGTTTGGGATGGAACTTCAGTCCTAAAGCTTTTTTTTTTTCATACATTTAACGGTTAATACTTTGGAAAAAAAAAAAAAGAAACTTAGTACCTATATGAAATCATGTTTAAGTGATTCTTGAGGACCTATTAAATATAACACAAACAATGATACGTTAAGAGATAATTAATATTTATTTCAAAAGACATGAATATATTTTGCCATTTTAGGGAAGAAGGCTTCAGCTCGAGAGCCCTTCACGTATAATATTAATATTACTTTTTCCATCTTTCCACTAACTACATAATGCCATGCTTATAGAATGTCTGGAGTTTATAGTTAAAAAACTGATCGTAGTGGTTTTTGATGTCCGCTTCCTATTGGAATTTATTTTCATTCGTGGAGTTCTGATGAGACCGGGATAAGTGGTAGTCACTTGGAGCTAGGTCTGGTGAATAGGGAGGCTCAATAATTTATTGACAGGGACCAATGAGGTGTGGGGCCTAGCGTTGTCTTGGTGGAATACAACACCCTTCCGATCATTCATAACTCTTCAGGATGTTCTCCAAATTCGATGTTACAAAGCCCTATGAATATTTTTTTTATTTAATGCCTAAATAAGGAATAAATGAACGAAAATTCCTTATAGATTTTTATTTTTTATCTCCATTTGTAGTTTGTTCATAAAGGTTCTGTTGATATCATTTTGTGTAGTTGTATGTGACCCTGAATTTCTGCTAATTTTTTTGTCGATAGCTAAAGTCGTATTGAAGCTATAACATTTTTTGTGATTTTCGAAAAAAATCATGTGAGGGACCCAAACATTAAGCCTGAAAACATAGCCAAGCTTATGGAAATGGTTTTATACACTTGTGTGCGACACATTTAGGGCCATATTAATCTCTTGCACTGATTGGGTGGGATTTTGATCAACAATGGCCTTAACATTGCTCGTTTCAATTTCACGTGGGCGACCAGACCTTTGAGCATCATTGATGACAAAATTTCCTAATGAAATTTGCCGAACTGAATTTGACAGATGCGTTCGGTTAAGGCATCATCCCCATAAACACTGCAAATTTGTCTATGAACTTCTGCAGCACGCATTTAAAATAATACAAAAAAATATGTCGATAATGAATGATATTTTCTTCCATATTCACAGTCAAATAGCAAACGCAATACTAAGCTAGTTTCAACAAGAATTAACAGATATAGTTGTTGACATATTACAAACAGGATAAACAATCCACCTTAGAGATTAATTCATCAGATTAGAGGTGTATCGTAGTGGCGTATGTTAAAAGTAATTTTATTAATATTAATTACAAATCGATCATATGTTATATCGATTATATAAATTATAAAAAAAAAGATATATACATAAAATATACGTTTTAGATATAACTCTGTTCTTTCTATGAAGTTGTGATGTTAGTTTAATAAAGATTGATTTTGCTTAGTTTAAAAAAGGCTTGTGGTTTATTTAATGTTATACACTTAATAATAAAACTCATAAACCTTTAATAAAATCAACAACGTAAAGATAAACAGAAAAACCGAAAGGACTTATTTGCCAACCCAATATTTTACCATTTTGGAGAAAGGAGGCTTCAGCTCGAAAGACTCCCACGTAGATTGGCCTGTATGCTAGATTAGAAGATTTATTAATATGGGAGTACAAATACTTAGATTTTATTTTACTAACTTGCCCGTATTAACTGACTATATATAATGTTTATTTACATGAAAAAACTTGGTCAAAGAGCTACTTATATAAAAGTAAATTAATATTGAAAATATTGTAGAGTGTTTTACACCCCAGTGTGTCGTTATAGGGATAAGATTACCTTTCGAATTGAAATTCCCTTTCGTTTGATTCCACATTCATCAAAATCCATCGCTCTAAAGAGCCGAAAAAGGGATCTTTGTTGTGCTATATATATAGTGTAGACAATTAGTAAGTAATATAATTATATGCAGGTTTCCAATTAACATAGGGTTAGATAAATATACATCCAATATTACAGCAAAGTGGAATCATTTCACGCTAGCTTGTTTAACTAAGGTGAAATCTAGGTCAAACAACGGAAGTGAGTTTTGAAACTTTTTTTCGTGCGTGAATTATTTTTCCTCTCCACTAGGAAAGGGAAAATAAATATGATAAACATTTCTGGATGGGCAGAGCGACCTGGATATTGGAGTAGGCCGACCCAGATAATGGAAGCAATGGCGTGTTATGATACAATAAACTCTTCTTGAGGTAGCTGCATCATTGATTGTCGCACACCAGTCCTTCTTGAGACGTGAGCAGCTCCTCCACAGTATGTAAGGAGTCGTTTATTCAGGTCATATAAATAAAATATACATTTCATATTATGTTGACACTTAAATAACAGATAATTAGAAATTAAGGTAATTAGTTAGATGAGGACCGCACGAGTTACGGGTGGGACACAATCAATTCGGTCACACAATTGTTCATGAAAAGCCGAAAAAAGTCTTTCGAATAAATCCGGATGCATTGGGCACTCCATGAACAAATGTGACCGAAGTGATTGAGAACTACGCATAACACGAGCGGTGAACTAAATAATCACCAAAATGAATTATACCTATTTTAAATCTACATAATCATTAGAAGTGTATTATTGTATAATTTCCTAAGCAATTTATGGGATAGATTAGAAAATACGCATATAGTTCAGATTATAATTTCATTTTAAACTGAACAGAATAATTCAATAAAAACGCATCTAATAAATCACATAATGTTTAAAAACTAATATAACATCCCATTGTAGTATTTTTAAAGCCTACATCATTTCAATAAACAATTTTTTGGCTGCACATTCTGACCATTTTTCATCCTTATTATTGTTCAATAATATTCTAATACTTAAGTTGTTGAATCAAAATTGACGAAATTCATACCAGATCATTTCCCTATTATCCTCCGAATTTTTCCCAACTAAGGTCCAAATCGATTGAGTAGTTTTTTAAATATAGGCATAGAGAAAAAAGTACATTTCCGCAATCATTAACAAAAACAGAGAATGAAATTTGATAAAATTAATCTAGAATAATATTTTCACAATTTTCTTTATCTTTGAGTCTAATCAAACAATATATTTTTTATGTATAGGCTCTTCTTAATAGGCTTTTTAGAACTATAGAATAAAACTTGATGGAATTGATATGGAACAATCACGGCACCAACTTGCGCAATCTCTGAAAATTTCATCAAAATCGGATTCATAGTTGTAGGTAATATGCTCGTCACATGAATTTGACCATAGACATACAGAAATACGGAACTTAATTATTTCCTTGACTTCTCAAAATGAAAAACAAAGGTTGAAATTTTCGATTATGAATACAAACATTATTTTAAATTCACACATGGATACAAACATTTCTATACATTATAGTGAGAAAGTAAAAATATATATATTTATAATCATGTATCCTTTCAGTCCTTTGTCATATCCTCATTTTCGGTGTACTCAACTAATAGTGATCTTCTTCAAACCTTCTATCCGGTCTGAAAAAACTGGTGACTCGTTTTTATTTATAGTCTCGAATCTTTTTGTTAATTGCTGACGATGCCTGGATCTAAATCCATGAGGTTACGTGGATGAATTTTGGAACGAAGTGGCAAATGGCAATGTACCGTTCAAAAATAGTCCAGGACATCTTGGCGTGACCTGCGACTTTGATAAAAGCGAGAGAAAACCCGCTGATGGGATACGTTGTATTAATGGGTCGATATTTATTCGATTTCAGAATTTAAAGTGCATTTAGACATTTCATAAACTGGAAGGAACACGATTATCTAACTTATCTAATAGCGCTAAGCCCAATTTTTTTTTCTTTCTCTTGTTATAGACAGCAGATGGAAAACATCAAGAACACTAACATAGGGGTTAGTTTGTGAAATATTTAAACGCACATTTAGGTTTCTCGAAACGTAAAACCTAAGATATTCGGTGTGGTAGGAGAATCACATTTTTTTTTTATCAATTACAAAGGTTCGTTATTGAAAATAGTTGACCTAAAACGTTTGTAAAAAGCTATATCTCTACTAAAACTACTCGTAAGATTCACTTATTTCTTACTAAATACATGATCATACAAGGCACTAACAGTTCGATGTTCTTCAATTTATTAATATTTTTATAACAAAATAATTGCATTAGTTATTAAGAAACTGTTATTATTTGCTATTTTAAACGATATACTTTGAAGAGTAGAAAAATTTCTGACATAACTTTTGTGAAAAATGTTTCAGTTACTTAAAAATACTATTTTCATATCTACATGCATTCTAGCTATTGGCAGTTTGTACAATTATTTTATCTCTCAACGTAGTTATTTCTCTATCAATAAAATATCAAGAAAAATAGAGTTATAGTCATAATCATAAATAAAAACAGGATAAAACTAAGCTGTATTGTAGTTATATTTGTCTCAAGATTATTAAGGCATATACATTACCTGATTGGCGGTGTGAAGTATAACCTTACACTGTTTACCTCCTGTGATTAAAGTTTGACAGCTATAATGTCAGGCGGCGATATTTGTTGGTATTTTCAAAGGAATAGTTGTCGTTTTGGAAGCAATTGTAGGAATCTTCATGTCTATGGAGGTGAACAGCAACAAGTTCGCGACCAAGGAAGGAAAACTGTGTCCTTCAGGAATCCAGTTTCAGATCAACCTACCGGAGTTTCTGTGCTCCAGAGGAATAGATATGTTGTTAATAATCAACCTAAAGATTCTGGCCTAAGTCATCACTTGGAAGAAATCAAAAATGATATTGCAGCATCTGATAGCATGTGGCCTGCTTCTTGTTATTCCTATTTACTGACTCATGGCAATCTTCAAGGTTTTGAAGATTTTTCACCTGAAGAGATGAGATTGAAAGCTTATAGTAATCCTCAAGAGTACGTGCTTGACGTTAATAATTTGAAAACTAATGTTGCTGAACTTAAGAGAAGTTTTTTAAACAAATCACCAGCAGCTCAAGAAATCTTAAATGATTATATTAAACAAGGGCCTTCCAGAGTGAAGCAGTCTCTTCAGCCTAGTCCTGCATTTGTTTCTAGAGTGGATTCAGCTTCGAATTTTTTTTCTGGAAATCAAAATACTCCATCCCCAGGATTTTTCTCATCTTCACCGCCAACTCCAGGCTCATTCAGTTTGAACAGCCACCCTGCTTTCCGAGGACAGTCTCAGACATCTTTTAATAATAATATTTTCGCTCAGGCCCTTAATGAAGATAAGCAATCACCATTTGGGCAAAAAACCTCAGTCTTTGGAGTACCTATTGAAGATCCTAGTGTATTTAAACAAAATATTTTTGGCAGTGCTACGCAAAGCAAATCTGGCGATAACAGCATCACTGCTGCTCAAGCTTCCCAATCATCTAGTCAATTTAGCTTTTCTAATGCTTTTTCTAATTCAAATGTAAAAAGTAATGTCCCCACAAAAGTGTCAGGAAAATGTGTTATGTATTCACAAGAAAATGAATTGACCCCAGAAGAACTAGAACAATTTAAGGCCACTACATTCACTTATGGAAAAACTCCACTTAAATGTCCCCCTAAAGAGTTGTGTTAGTGATACATCCAAGTATTATAAAGTAATTATTTAAATGTAAAATTATGTTTTATTTTATTTATTTCATCTTTTAACTATATTTATTGTTAATTTAAACTAGTTATTTTAATGTTTTCTTTACAACTTTGTTTCAATGAAAGTGTTTTGTCAGAGACTAGTTTTTAAATTAATTGATATTAATGGCTTTATTTTATTGTTCAATTTGAAAAGTGTGGTCTGTTATAAATATTTCATTTGCAATTGAGTTCTTGTTATAGGAGTAAATATACATGTATATATGTCATGGTAATTATGTAGATTTTATTATATAAATATGTTTATAATCCCTAAATGGGATGCGTAAAACAAATACATATAGATACTGCTAATGGAAAATAAAATTATGAATAATTTATTTAAACCCTAGGAAATCTTTTTACAGTTTCAATATTTATTAAATAATTAATGAAGAAAATTATAAATTGAAAAAATAATATAAATATTGAAGGAAGTGAGTCGACTGTTCTACATATCATGGGTGTAGTTTTTATTGGTGCCGACATTTCAACCCAAACATGTAGGTCATATTCAGAGCTGACAATTTTTAGATACAATCAGAGATATAATATTATACGACAGATAATGTTTAATAATAATAATAAACAGTGATTGATGATACGTGAAATAGGGACATTTTAACCCAAACATGTAGGTCATATTCCGGGGTGAAAATTTTTAAATACAATCAGAGATATAATATTATACGATAGATAATGGTTAATAATAATAATAAACAGTGATTGATATATACATATCATATATAATAAATAAATCATATATTTCTTATGATTTATATATAATGCATTGTATTATATATTCATATTATAACTAATAAAAATATCTTGTACTAGAACTTATAAAGCAGTTTTCTTGGTTATAAATATAGAGAACCCAAGAAAACCACTTTATAAGTTCTAGTACAAGATATTTTTATTAGTTATAATATGAATATATAATACAATGCATTATATATAAATCATAAGAAATATAAACTAATTGTTACATACTTATACATTTGTTTATTCTAAAGAATGATATTACTCTACATTCGAAGTGATATTATTCAAATAGCAACAGATGGATATATCTATATGTATATATAATAAACGTAGGAGTAGTTACCTCTGTACGTTGACAAGGAAATTGAAAAGCAATTTTTAATTATAACAGACTTGCTATAGGAGGAAGAAAATGTTTGAATTGGTTTTACCACAAAGTAGAGAAAGAAAAGATCTGCAATACATATTCGAACATTATAAAATATGTAATTACAAGGGTAGATCACAGTTAATGGGTCACTAACCTATTTTTTTTCCTTTGGTGATGCAACCAAAAATATTGTATGCGGCTGAATCTGTCCGGTGTTTTTTCAAATGGAACCCAGGAGACAAGAAAATTTTTTTATAATTTTTAAAATGTTTTTTCATAATTTTTTCCCACTTACAAAAAAAAAGAAACTCAAGATATTTTCCTAAGCTCTGAAGGGTAAAAAACAAGATGTATTTGCTTCAAGTAAATAAGGTGAAAACATTTTTTTAAATATAAAATAAGTTCATACTTGTTTTCAGATAAACCGTACTGGGCTAAAAAAAAAACATTTATTACTTGAAATTGAAATCAGGTGTCCCAAAATGTGCCTCCTCAAAAAATGAAAACTCTATAAGAATAAGATCCTCAAATATTTTGGTGGCGTAACTCATGCTAGGCAAAGCTTTCTGGGTACTCCTGAGGTGACCAGATCAAAATTTACCACCCACCTATCGATGGGTCATCTCTTCGCTTTTCAGAGGCAAAATAAGTTTCTGGCCTATTAATACTTATGTCATCCTATTCCTAATAAAACTATTTTATAATCAGACTCTTGTTTGTCAGATAAATATTGAACCTGGATCCATAAGTTATTTAGTTCCAATGTTTTAATTCTTTAAAATATAAATTTATTTCACTTCAGTACCTTATAGATTTTAATTTTGTTTTCAGGAATGAAACGAATCGAACAGAAATATAATCGATAAATCTAAATTAAAATGAAAAAAATTATAATAGTGGATAATCGTTGATTTCTTTAATGTATTGTAAATTATGAACATATCAAAATGGCTACCAATCGAAGATACAGCCATTCAGGAATTTGTGAAGAATTGCAAAAAACTCAACATGTTATCACTGTCTCTAGAAAAGAAATTAGGAAACATGCTTCATGGCAAGGATGACTGTTACTCGGTAGCTAATACTTTTAATAATAATTTTATTATTATTAGGGTTGAAAATTATTATTGTTTTGCAAGATTTCCTTCTTACATTTTTTTAGGAATTGGAAGCTATCATGGAAGGATTAGACACCACTGGAAAATTATTTTCCAAAGTATCCGGGGACCACAGGGTTGCCATAGCTTCGAACTATAAATGTAAGCATTGGAGAGAACATATCAGAGAAAAAAGATTATCGGTAATGTACTTATCCCTTCAAGTAATTACATCAGCGCTATCCAAATATCTGGAAGATCGGGTTCAATTAGTTTATGTATTAAGGTAAAAAAATAATAATAAATAAAATAAACTTTTATCTATAAACTTATCAGGCATAGATTTTTGTTCTGTAATTATTTCAGATTAATTGAGTTCTTCGATACACTCCTTGCCCTCAATAGTGTAACTGAGAACCAGTGTACATCAGTAGTTCGAAACACATGTCCTTCTATGCTTCATCCAATGAGAAAACTGTCTCTTACAAAAATTCTCCAAGTTAGTGATTATAAACATAATTTTGGTTAAGCAGATTGCTTATTACATTTATTACCTTCAAATATAATTTTAGGTTATTGCACACATTAGAGCAGATCATTGTGGCCAACAATTGATATATATTTTGTTGAACTTGAAGACAGAAACTGAAAAAATGGAATCTGATTATCCATCATCAGACAACTCAAGTATGGAAGTGTACAGGTAATATGATTTTGTGTGTTTGGTATTGTATGGAAATTATAAATTTTATTCAGTATTTTTAATTAATATGTAATGATTTAGGGCTCTAACAGAAAACTTATCGCCGGTTCATGAAAATGCTAATGTGAAAAAAGAAACTACTGAAGAAAATACACCACCAGAAATAGCCATGTTAAATGGTCTTCTAACTCTTGAAAGCCATAAGTTAAAACCATTATTTGACACTATGGCGAAAGAAACTCCTGATCGTCTTGGTCCTTATTTCATTAAAGAATCAAGATCAAAAGGTATTGTCAGCTGATTTAAAAAGAACAATTGAATTTATTTTATTTCCTTTCAATTTTTGTTTTACTTTAATTTGTTTTTGAGATATAAATAAAAATTTTGTCTATATAATAAAAATGATGAGTTTCCTATCGTTCTGGTGAAAACAATTAAGTATATATTGACTTGATTTTATGGCAATAAAAAATATAATAAATAAAATAATCATGAATACATATTTTTATTTCAAATTCAAACTGACATAACATAGTCCGATTTAGTTCATTTTAATGTACTTTAGGTTCCATGAAAATGTTAATTGGTTGAGTTCTCTTGGAGCTATTTAAGATTTTTATGATTGTTGAAAAAAAATTATGATTAAATGTTAAGTGAAATATTTAGGCCCTTGTTTCATTAAAGAATCCAGAAATTAAAAGGTATAGATAGAAAACCCATTTTAAAAAAGAATGATTTAATGAATATTTTACTGATTTATGTTTTATTTTAATGAAAATATTTTATAAACTGAATATAAATATCATTGAGGTTATATTCAGTAGCCAAAAGCCAATGAAACCACTGAGCCATTGGTGATTGGACCAGTGATTAAAGGAATGCACTGAATTCCATCAATGAGTTTAGGAATGGTCTGATGGATTTCCGATGCCATTGGTGAGCTTTGAGTTTAGAATCTTGCTTATAATTAAATTCTGATGACAATAATAAGGTGTATAAAAATATGGCCGTTTTATCAAATTCAAGATTTCAAAGGACTGCAAATATTTTAATCCTATTTAATACATACCAATACTTAATAATCCCTTTAGGGCATTCTCTAAGCTTGTTAAATCCCATTCGACTTCTTTAAAAAAAGCCGCAGTTTAGTTATTTGTTTCAAAGAAGAAACATGACAGTGTCCTACGAAATTCTCGTAATTTTAAGACACTAGTAGAAAAAAAAAAAATCACAGCCACTGAAGCAACTCATGAAATTATTAAATATGAAGGGGAAGGTGTCCTTGACCAGCACACTCCACGTAGTTGGTTTGAAAAATTTAGCATGGAGATACGATGCTGGAAAGGAAGAAGGACTTCCTTAATATGTTGCGACCTTTAATGGATGTTGATGAGGTTCTGCTGAAAGCTTTTGAGTCAAATACATCCACAAGTACTCATGAACATGCCAGGGAATGTGGTATAATCATAATTACTGTTAGTTGCAATCTACTCTCCATGGGGGAGGTGAAAAAGAACAGGAGACTGGTCCCTCATGAACTTACTCTTCAGTAATCAGCTAAGAGGTTAGAAATATATTGAAAAATCCTTCTGATATGAGATTTTGTTGTACTGCCACATAGTCTAGACCTCAGATCATCGGATCAATACTTAAATCCGGATAAATCCATGGCCCATTTTCTTCAAGAAAAAAAAATTGATAATTTTGCTCAAGTTGAAATTGGGGTCCAAGAGTTCTTTGAAAGCCATCCCAATGAATGCTATCAGCATGGGATCGAGCAATTGGCTAGCAGATGGCTAATGCCGGTAGATAACAATGGACTATACTTTGAGTATTAATTACATTTTATATCAAAGAAATAATAATACAAATATTTGGTTGAAAAACGGTCATTTTTTTATACACCCTATTATAAATACTGAAACTTGTTGACTCTGTGAAAAAATTTACTCAATTCTTTTCTTTGTTACTTTTCATCACTGGTTAAGCCAGAGAACTCATAAGTAATGTAAATACACCAATAATAGACACTCCACTAGTAATCGATAGTTTTCAATTCATTAACAGGTAATAAGCTTTATTCGCCCAAAATGGACCTTATGCCTTTATGCATAGTTAAAACACTTCGGAGGATTATACCTGAACCTCAAGTCATATGCCACAATATTCCAATTGTGGTTGATTTTTTAATGTAGTAAGGCTGTGTGTTCCTTTCAGGGAAGTTTTCTTATCATTTTTCTTTAGCAGATAAGTTTGAAAATTTTGATTCATTCATCTGTAGTTTGTCATTTCTTAATTTAAAACTCTGAAGAATATATTTTAGGTTTTTTTATTTAAATAAAAAACCTATTGACTCACAACCTGAATGTCTATTACTGGTGCAATATAGGCTATCAGAATTTTCTAAGTTTTCATGATTAATCAACTGTATAAAAAATAAATCGATAAAGAATACATTTACTACTAATTAAACTCAATTGCAAAGATCCACAGCAAGAATTAAAGCTGTTGTTCACATTAATGTTGAAAATTTCTTTTAAAGTGTTTATTACCGGAACATTTATCTTAATTAACTATAAATGATGAACACTTTGTACCATTCAGGAGATATGAGAATGAGTACAAAAGCAAGACAGAAAGTGATAGCATATTACCAAGAAGTCCTCTGGGGATTAGTTGGAACCTATGCTGAGTACAAATTAATCTGGAGAGCTATCGGATTTCAGGGAGAAGCTTGCAATCAGTGGGCTACATGGATTAAGAAATTGGCCTGTAACCGTAAGCTTTTCTGTTAATTACAACATAACTTATATCCATTCATCTAATTAAGTGATTTAAACACTAAAGATAACAACCTTTTTAGCAACACTCCCTCATATTCTGAAGCCTGCACTTCAGAGCCTAGTGGATGGGTTATGCCTTCATATAACCACAGTCACTTGGGATCACATGTTCAGGAAAGCAATGGTGGCAGCTGGTTATCAAAACAGTAAATACATCAATAACAACTATGAAAATGTACAAAAAATGCTTGTGGATCATTTCGACCAAATATAGCAGAAAGTAACCAATTCACACATTTTTAGGGGACTTATACAGGTCTGATGTTCAGCGAAATGTTTTCCGAACTGGTTTCACTCAGTAATAGCTGCGAAGGTTCTAACTGGACGGTAGCTGCGCTGGAAGAACTTCCTCTCACAGAGCAAATCCCGATACTTCATAGGCTAGATCACACAGTAAGCAATTAATTATTTTTTTCCTGCCTGGTGAGAACTTTTTAGTCAGTCTATATAGAAAATGGAAATGAATATTATAGTTATTATGTAGTTATATTATATTATAGTTATACAAGAAATAAAAAATATGTTAGGAAGGATTAGACTGCTTTATCTTTCTTATTATGTAGTTTGATACTCCATATGATAGTCTCTTTTTAAATATTTTTCTATTTTACATCTTACACATGGAGAGGCTTTCAGCGCCCAGGATCATATTTATTTCTATAGAAACCAATTAAAAAATTAAATTATAACCATTTATTTATATAACATAATTTTATAATTACCATGAAAATTAATATCATATCATAGCTTTAATCCTATCTTCTTTTTATGTAAGAAATATAAATAATTTGAGCAATGTTTATATATAGCAATTATTTCATTAAATTATTTTTTAATTCAACTATTCATTTTTATAGTTTCAATCTACTATACAGTTTTATTACCTTAACAATATCAATCAAAAAATAATTTGAGATATATTGTAACAAGATGAACAACATTGTTTGAATGTAGGTTTTTTTTATTTATTTTTTTTATGTAGGTTCTTTATCTAGATGTAAGGAATGAGGATTGAAGTAGGAGATGGTATTAGTTTTCATGCCAAATATAAAATTATGTTAGATAAATAAGTTGGTATTGTTATAGTTTAATTTTGTATTTGGAATCTATAGCGATGAATAAGGTGCGGGTAACCAAAAACTTTTTCATATATCAGATGTACAATAAAAACATATTTTAAAAGAGAGTGTTATATGGTAAACAACATTATTAATAAGAAAAAATAAATTATTTTATTCTCAGTTTAATATCATTGAATAAAAATTGATAAAGCAGAGAGAATTATGATCGATTTTCATGATTCTGAATTAAATATTACCATGATAGCCGTTATTTGGTGTAAAGGAAACAACTGGTAAAAAATAAAAATATATATATAATAAGCAATATATAATCTACATGAATCAATCATAAAAAATTATTTAAATTGTTATTATAACTCAAACTATTTAATAATAACTGTCACATTAGATCCATACATGTAGACTTTGGGCAGAGGGTAAAGCAAGGCAACTGGCGAACATGTGGAACATGGACCAATTTTTCAGAGTGACACAAATAGATGTTGCTGCATCTTTAAAAGAACTTTCAAACAGCCATGTGCGTTTATAATTATATCATTTATAGTGTCAATTACAAGCTCAAGGCTTTGCTTAATCACAATATTCTGAACAGTTCGCAAACCAGAACGACTTGTTGGGACCCGAATGCAGTGTCCACGTAATGGTATGTGGTAAAATGAGAGCTAAACTGGTTTCCGAAGTGAATGCCAATGTAGAACAGTTGAAGGTATGTAGATTTAATTATTTTTCTATTTTCTATTATTTGATGTTTAATAATTTACTTAAGGAAGAGTTTTATTTTAGGTATAAAGCATGAAAACATTTCTCTTCCGTGTATATCAATTTATTCATCTGTCCTACGTTTCGGACTGTTTATCCATCTTCAGAGACATTTATTTTCACTGCTAGAACATCATAATGTCATTAATATTTGCTACAATTTTTTCCTATATTTACACATATTTGTTTAAAACGTATTGTAAATATAATTTTTTTTTTGTAAATGTTTAAATATGTACTAAGATGGAATACATACATTTTTATTTCTTTATATTTTACTTTACTTTATTTATTTTAATTGGTACGTATCTATTAGAGGTATTTATTTTTTGTTTATTTCTTTTCTTCCCATTTCTTTTAATTCTTTTTATTTATTTTTTAGCTAAGCAGAGATTATTTTGTTTCATTTCTTATTTATATTATGTACAGTTCTAGATATTTTGTGTACAGTTTCTTCAGTTAAGTTTTGTATATTTTTTTAGTTTCATAAGGTTTTTTTATTTATTTAATCTAAATCTTTATATTTAATTTAGTTCTTCTAGCCAGAAGTATTTCTTTTGTTCTGTAACCTTTTGTTATTCTGGACCTCGTCCTAGAATAAAGTTATTTTTCTATTTCTAAACAAATACGTGGAAATAAAGAAAAAAATTGTAACAAATATTAATGACATTATCATGTTTTAGCAATGAAAAGAAATGTCTCTGAAGATGGACAAAGAGTCCAAAACATTGGACAAATGAATAAATTGACACATACAGAAGAGAAAAATTTTCATGCTTTACACCTAAAATTATTTTTCTGATTTATAACAATTAAATAATTTTATAATATCAAAAAAGAATAAATGATAGGACAATGTTTAATCTAAAACCAAATTATAGCACTTTAACTAATAAGGGCGGGAGGGGCGTGCACCAAGGTATCTTCTAATGTAGATATGCCATTGTATTTCTCTGAACAATTTTTCATAATAATTGTCTGGAGACCCAAATGTCAAAAAGATTTTTCATCTAGTGAAACATTACCATTTAACTTTTACAAAAATGGTTATGATTTATTTTATTATTGTTTCAATGACTGAATAAATCTCTTGTTCAAGGCAGTACCGGCACAAAGTATTGATGTCCTTGCAAGCGTAACTCGTACTTTCAGTCTGGCGAATCTGAAACTCATGTTTCCATCGCCTAAATATTGGAAGCAGCAGTTCGACGAAATACCCCAATATGCAAGCAAATATGTTGAAGATTATTTAGGTAATATGAGATAATTTCAAAGTAAATTTATATAATAGGAAGAAAATATATTTATTCATTTATTAAAATTTTAGATGAAATTTTGAAGCCAGTCGTAAATGCCACTAAAACATTGGAGGACCCAATACAGCAAAAGGTATCTTGCTTGGTACTCGATATTATGTGTGAAGCCTGGTTAGACCACATTTATAAAAATAAAATAAAATTCACGTAAGTCTCCATTTCCTAAAAAATAAACTAATTATTCCTAAATCTATATTAGTATATTAAGTAAAAGAGTTTGGTGAAAGCACTAATTTCAGGAATTAGCACTCCAATTTGAAAAATTCTGTTTTCTCTCTCACGGTCATGTATGAATACAAATATTTAGTTTAAAATGTATGTTAATATTTTTTTATAAATGGACGTTAATAAAGTAGAGCATGGGAGTATAAAAGTATTGTATTTGGTAGCTGTTCACATCAGACTTCTGTGGACTCAGGCTACACCCTCATTCCCCACCACTGCTCCCAGACACACTGTTATTTCATATTTTAAACTTAACATGAGCCTTATTTTTTTATTTTTAAAGTGAAATATTTATCTAATACAGGTTATTTATCATTTGAACTCTATTGCAGCTCAAATTTATACAATTTTTTTTCCATGCAAGTACTGAATTAGGATAAATATGGCATTGCACATGAATATACTTTTCTTCTCCACAGTTTAGTATAATTTTAGTTTCAGAAAATTTAATTGAGAATTCCAAAACACTTTAACTGCTAACCAGAAAATAATAAAACTATCTATTTTATTACAGAGAATGGGGGGCACTCCAACTTTTGGCAGACTTCGGAGCTGTGCCGACTTGGCTGATGGAAAGAGTGCAGGCAACGCCAAATCTTCTCTCAACCGAGATGCTGAGGAGGTGCGAAGGCGTGGGTAGATTATTGTTATCCCAACCAGGGCATAGGATACCTATGATTGACAAAACAATCAGAAAATATCAAGGTAACTGTTTGGTTGCTTGGTGAAATGTAACCATATGCAGATAAATAAACAGCCAATGTTATGTCAATTCAGTTCGGAAAAAGATAAAAACATAAATGCAGAACTCAGATAGCACATGTCATATAATAGACTAAAAAAATTAACCAAATAGAAATAGTATTCAGCATATATTGATATATAAGTAGTCAACTTTAACAATTTATTAGGTAAATGCTCTTTAAACTATAAGTTATGATATTTGTTCAACTATGCACCAAAGCATCTACTAAATAAACCAATCACAAAGACCCAGATAACTCCAGTTATTGTGCAGAGGATTTTCCTCTCAAATCTTTTAATACTTCTTTCTATGATGCTAGTTAGTGTCCATGTCTCACAGCCTAATAACCCTGGATCTAGGGCCCAAAAATCGACGTGATCCCAGGCGAAGGTTCGATTGTAAATTACGAAAGTGTATGTTATTCTGAGTAAAAAAAAAATTTGTATGCCGTTCCAGAGCCGCTGCTTTCAAAAATGGCGGCTGATTTAAAGAATATTAGGCCAATAATTTGAGGATCGAAACAGGAAATCCATTGCGAAAAATGTGAGAAAGTTTTTATTTTTTAACTTTTATATATGGGTTTAGACATGTAAAAAACAAAATTGCTAAAGCGGACCACCAAGGGAAAACATTTTACAGCCAAAAAAAGTCAATTTTTTGCGACATTTTTTGGGTTTTTAACCTATAACTCCTAAACAATGCATCAAAGCGAATTATAGATGAAAAGCCCAAATAATCTGACTTTTTGGCTGTAAAAAGTTTTCCCTTGGTGGCCTGTGTTAGCAATTTTGTTTTTTACATGTCTAAACCCATATATACATGTTAAAAAAATACAAACTTTTCTCACATTTTTCGTAATGAATTTCTCGTTTCGATCTTCAAATTACTGCCCTAATATTCATTAAATCAGCCGCCATTTTTGAAAGCAGCGGCTCTGGAACGGCAGACAAGGTTTTTTTTACTCAGAATAACATACACTTTCGTAATTTACAATCAAACCTTCGCCTGCGATCAGGTCGATTTTTGGGCCCTGGCTCCAGGCCTCTAATGGACCCAATGACCATATATAATTTTTTTCTTTCTCGACTTGAATAAGTTAGGTCTCATCATACTCCAAAACTATTTATAAATATAACTTCATATATCTATAGCTCGACCAAGATTTGTTGGCAGTCCGAGAGGTAAAACTAAGAAATTTTATTATTTTTGTTAATTCTTCAATTTTACTTTTAAAAACTTTACATATATATGAAGTAGAAGATTATATCACTTATCTGATGGAACAATGATACAATCATGTTAAATTGTTGGAAGGATCAACATAATAGTTTGATATAGGCAAAATTTAAATAAATAGAATTTTACACTGATACAATCAATTTTAAGAAATTATGTTACTGATATAATAATAATTCGAATTATTTTATCTCTCCTATAAAAGTATACGATTTACAGTTATCTTATTGTTCCACTGGATGAGCAATATCACCTTTCAATATGTTTATATATTTGCAAATAATATCAGAGTTAGGGAAAAACAAAATGTGAGTTTCTGTGTAAGGCACAAGTTCACCCTCGGGCTGCCAGTTAATTATAGTCAAAATATAGTTCTTCTTTTTTTTGTATATATTAATTCTTATTTTCTACATTTTATATTGCATGTCGTTAGGTAACATATCTTAAATTCTGAATTATTTAATGTATTATTCAGATATTCTATATTACTAAATGTATTACATTTTATATTATCTTACTACATGTTATTTCTGGTTTGTACTTTTTTCCTTTTTTAACCTCCATAACACCCGACTATTTAAAATTGTTTAAAAAATATTGCATTTTATTTTTCTAAATCTTATGTTATTCTTGGGACTGACTAGTGTTGCTATCTGGTTTGACTAAATTATTTTTCTTAAATGAATTAAATAATTCTGTTACTCTAAATAACAGTAACAATTCAACAGGTTAAACACTCTTGGAGTGATATATCATCTCCATTAGATTAATGATGGAGTGATGAAGTGAAATGTACTATATTTCTTCAGTATTTATGCGATATTATCTTCTCCAGTCCTGAAGATGCTTGGATTGACAAAACATTGACTGGTTAATTATTCTCTGGTATACATTTATTTTAAAATCTTCCAATAATATTCTAAATTAATACCAATTTCGATTTCCGAAATCTTTGTAGATGAAGGCGAGTCATCGCCGACGAGAATGCCTCCCGAAATGTATGTTCCTAATCAAACACAATGGCTCGAGCTGAGAGCCCAGAGAAATAACTATTTTTCATTTTGCTGCTCAGGACTAAGAATAGTAAGTATAGATGGCAAGGGTTTTTATATAAAACCTTTTTACTAATATTTATTTATTATTATTACTTTTTCAAATTATTTTAAAGATTCCAAAGCTTCAAGTCTCTCATATATCAATAATTATATTATATCCATAATATATCTCTCATTAATAGTCTAAAAAAAATTTGGTGAGCATGACACAACTTTCACTTAACAACCTTAAAGTAGATAGGTATTTTCATTTATAGGAAAACCAAAGTGAAAATGATGGTATAACTTCATTTAAAACAATTGAATAGTTTGTTTTTCCATCTGATTGAATCTGTTAAATTCATACATTTGCATCACATTCCATTTCCTTTTACGATTGGGGAGAAAAATAGATCTTTTGAAAAAATAATGTAATGTCAATAAATATTGAATATTGTTAGGTTTATATTAGTAGATTCTCAACATTTCGCATGAAAACCTTTTTAGAAAGTTATAGATAAGTGACAAACTATATGAAAGCTCTTTACAGAGGGATATCAGGTATCTGTAACAGGAGAGGATCGGCAAAGATCAGCTATTTCCATATATCTTCCAACCCTTATTTCTCCTTTCGTTACCAATAAATTTACTTCTATTATTATATTTAACTATTTTTTATATCAGTTTACAATGTGAAATGGTTATTTATTTCAAATAAAAAAATAAAAGGTACTTTAGAGGTAGAAATTTTGGCATTTAAACCCTGTTAGAAAACATTAATGAGAATGAGACCTATAATATATTAAAAACCACTTAATTTTACAATGCCATAGTAAATTTAATCAAAATCGTAAGAGCTGTTTTTGAGAAAATTGTAAAAACATGTAAAATCGATGATATAAAGTAGCACTTGCGGTTAGCCGATTTTGACTAAAAAGTTACTGTAACATCCCAGCCATGTACAAACCTTAAACTCTTGGACTTGGACCTCAAAACATGTATTTCTCTTAAAAACTTAGATTAAAAAATTGTCACGATTGCAATGCTTTCCCTTACTATATATTGCATATATAGATAAGTGAAAGTAAAAATTCAAACATTATGAGTTAGTGTTGAATCGTCTTGCAGAGATGTAGTGTCTCTATTTGTTTTTGTTTTTTACTTTTATTGTGAGAAGTGATCTATTTGGTATGAATTTAAGCAATTTCTTTGTTTGCCCTGATAATACCTAAATTGGCGTAAAGTTGACTAGTTAGTTATTTAATGATGTATGAGAGACTTGAAGGCTTTGATTTTGAATCTTGAAATAATTTCCTAACAGTGATTTTAAAAATATTTTTCTCTCATTAATTAATTTGTTTTTATTTATTTCCAGAGTATACCACCCTCTTGAAGTGTACTATGTAATCAAACTATTTTTTCAAAATACAAATTATTGTAATTTTTAAAATAAAAATATTAAGAGGAAATTTGTTTGTTTTGTTTTTAATGAACTACAAACTATAATTTAAAAAAAATGTATTTACACAAATATTCTATACTTTATTTACAATTATGTTCGATAAATGTCAGTGCTTCGGCTTTTTCTTCCTCTTGGATTGTCTACTTAGAAAATTGTGTCCTTCTTCTTCATGGCCGGGCTTTAATGAACATAGAATAAAAATAATTACTTAAATATAATAATAATGAATTTATTTAATCATATACCAGTTATGAGTAAATATTGAATAAAAAATAAACAATATGAAAATACAGACCAATGACCTAATACATTAATGAGTCTACAAAGGACCATTTTAGAAGTTAATATTGGGTTTGAGAGAATAAAAATAATTATAAAGATTGGACTTAATATTGGAGATAATATTCATTAGTATGAGTGATGAATTGGCAGAACAATGGACCTAAATATTCAATAAAAAGCATAGAAATGATAAAGTGTTCATAAATTCCATAATACTGACAAGTTAATAACATATTATTAATTGTAAAAATAATAAATTTTAATATAACAGAATGAAATTGAAAATTGAACAACAGAGTATGATTTTCAAAGGATGTATTTGACAAAAGTTAGATTATAATTATAATAACACACAATTTAACTTGGCACATGTCTTTCGCAATTACAAAAGACAGCTTGAAGATTCATGTAATATAACTGAATGTAAATTAAGGAGTAGATAACATTTTTTTTTTTGTCCTCCCTTTCCTTGCCTTTATGTTACATGGGGGTTTTCCCAGGCCAGGGGGCAAGGGCGGGAGTTTAATGACAGAGTTAAAAGAACCCCTTGCCACCGGGACGTGAACTCGGTATTATTTTATCACATAATGTTCTATCCAGGTTGCTAGGCAAGGCGTGGTACTGTGCACACAAATTAGCCTGCTTGGCCATATCCCCGCCCAGGAATAGATAACAGTTTAAGTTGATATAACATGTTTTCAGGAGAAGTTAGTCGAGGATCATTTTGGTACAGAAGAAAGAGCCTCGGTTCATAGTTCTCCCACTTATTAAGTGTACAGAAGTCTATTGTTGAGAATATATAAACCATACCTGGATACTTTTTCTTTAATTTATTAAATATATCAACAAGTTTCCTTCTATAGTACTCAAAGAGATCGCAAAGCTGTTTTTTACTTACTTTTTTAATAGTGTTTTGAATCGCCAAAGACTATTATAAATGGCAATATTTTAATTTTTAAAATCTAAACATGTGATAAATATCCCATCGTAAAAAGAGGACCTAAAAGGATTTTAACAAAAATTGCGGTTTACATTGAAAATAGTACGGGATTTAAACTGCAGGACTGATTATGTTTTCTGTGTTAATGCAGCTAATATTTTTAAATGTAATCAAAATAAGTTTAAAGAAACATTAAAAATGCCTTCTCTTTTTTTCTTTTAAATTCCTGTGATTAAATCATAGCTCATGTTTAAAAATTGTATGACATTGCTTTTTGACTGTTTAATACAGGTTTTGAGATAATTTTCTTTTTTCTTTTAGGAAAAATTAACTCAAATTGCTTGGATCTGTTAATATTCAAACTATTGATACAATTTACTAAATATAAAATTCTTCTATTCTATTCTGTAACCTCCAACAGAAGAAAATCAATGTTCAAAGCTAAGAGAAGTAATTACCTCAAAAATAAAATGTTAAAGCTGTTGTAGAATGACGTAGATTTATCTAAGAACTGGAATCGTAGTTAGGACTAGGAAGAAAAATAAAAACTAAAAGTGTGGGAATTCAATGTACCGTCTCACAAGAAATAAAAACAAAAGTCAAGAACCTATTTTACCTTGGACCATTCTTTCCTCAACTGGCTGAGCATTCCGGGCGTCAACAGTCCTTCCGATATCAGCTTTTCCGTTAACCTTCCTCTTCCCATCGGTATGTCTCTCTTCCTCTGTCTGTAACCAACTTCAGGAGCATCACCTAATCAAACGTATAAAATAATTAAGATACTAACTAAATGTTTTTAATATATCTTCTATATCGAAGAAAATTAGTCGACTGTTCTACATATCATGGGTGATAAATATTCACGACGCAGTCATTATAAAGTTTTTATTAGTGCCGACGTTTCAACCCAAACATGTGGGTCATCATCAGGGCGTGATTCGAGCACTGAAGATATTCAAGTACCCATGGTAGTATTCAAGTACTGGACTGATGTCAGTACTTGAATACCTTCAGTGCTCGAACCACACCCTGATGATGACCCACATGTTTGGGTTGAAACGTCAAATTTAATAAAAACTGCGTCCTAACTACTTATCACCCATGATGTCTTCTGTATCCATTAACTGCAACTAGAACAAACTTACCATCAGTTTGCTGATCTGCTATCACAAGGCGAGTTATCTGAGTAACCCCTTGTTGGATTATACTGTCTAATGAGGCTTGTAGCTCTCGGACCTGTGCAACGGCTGGAAACATTTCCGGAAATCTCGTACTGAAATTAATAAAATTTATGTTAAAAAATTTATTTTGTTTACCATCCTTTTATTAGTGACTTAATACACAACACTGGTGCGGTTAAAAATTAATGTACAACTATCAAATTACCGAATTTTAAGCTAAATTTAGCTTTAGTACATAAAAATCCAGTACGAGGTCCATCACACTACTTTCACATAAATAATTAAATTCCTGCTCAGACGTGGTTTCTTATTTAAACCAATTTTCAGGGCTAAAGCTATTAAAGGTTATTATTGTTATCAAATGTTTTTTCGACTCATAGATACAGTTTGAAAGATTTTAAGCTATACGCAATGCACTGTGGGCCATCACAATTAACCTTAAAGCCAACTCCGGGCAATGAAAATGTGTTGCTTGAGAAAAGTGGGGAGGGGAGAACAAAATGAGACATGGAAAAATTAAGAATACCATGATAACGATAAGAAAGAAAAATAAATTATATTCTAGGATATTTAGTCCCCTAAGAATAAGTACAATGAACAAAAAAGTTACATTTGTCTGGCATTAGAAGACAATAGAGAAATAATTAATTAAAATAAGCAGTTAGATAATTATGCTAATATACTAAAATTAAAAATAACAGAGCCCAATTAAACTTATTAAATTTTAGATAAATATACATGAGTTTGTTCACATATTATTGTAAATAGGCAATTATAGATAATATCTAGAGGATAACATCTGTAGTATACATGTATCTGAAGGATAACAGTAGAATGTGGATGACAGCACTTAAATACGAGAATTGTATTCCTATATATGTTCAGTAGACTGATTGGTGTTTAAATGAGGTTAAGGAAAAGGATTTGTGTATTGAGGTAGATAAGGAATACCAAAACAAGGCAGCACACATGAAAAAGGATTTTTTAAAGGAAACAGTACTATTAGAAGGAATATATAGGTTTGTGAGCTGGGAAATTGTGTTAAATGAATGCACAGAGGAACTAGGAGTAAAATAATCAAACAACAGATGGATTTTCGGTTGTAAAGATTCGGAAAAGGAATACAGCCTGGAAATATTGCCATCGGAAAACTGGATAGAACTTCAACTCGGCATATCAATTGGAGATGTGGGAGAAACTGGAGACTCCAAAAATGAATCTAATGAAATAATTCATTAATTAGTTAATTATTAAGCTAAGAAAGATACTGAGGAATATCACCTCAGTTGATTCGATTATGTTTGGAGAATGTGTGGCAAGAGCTATTATACAAAGCAGAAACAAAAGGAGGTAGAGCAAGGGGAATAACTGGGAGGAGAGCTATAAGAAGAGGGACAATTGGATCCCACTTTTTAAGTCGATCAAACACGCTGCAGTGTGGTAGAGAGGTTGGATTAAATAGAGGAAATAAGCATAAAACAAAAAAGGTTTAACAACTTTTAGAAAAGACTAAGCTCGCAATATCTGTTTCTAGAATTTGTCTAATGAATATTAGAATTAATAAACTTAAATTAATTAGTACATTAGTAATAGCTAATTAGTACATTAGTTTACCTTAACCACAGATACAAATCCAAAACGTCGAATACTGCTTCTAAATGAACCAGATCTGCTATAGATTTCGGAGTAGAGAAAGGAGTCCCCAGATGTTTGCACAGCCACAGAAATGTAGCTCCATCATTTCTGCTGAACTGCCTAGCAAACTAAAATAAGAAAAACAAATTAATAAAAGATAAAATAATTTAAAATATACAACTAAAACTAACATTAGAAATAAAAATTATATAAACATGGTGAAATAAACGTTTCTTGGCTAACAGGTGAAATAAGGTGTGAACCTTGTAGTTAAGGTTAATAGAAACTTATAAACTTTCACTTAAGTAAACTTGACTCAGGACAACACCGCTTTTAATCAGGTTGGAAAGAATCATTTCGATCTTTCCACTCGTGCTAGAATAGGTTGGTAACCTGTAAACCATCTTTCATGCTCCCGGTTACAGAATATGAGGAAGTCAATGCAAAATACCAAAATAAAAATTTAAAGATTTGATATTCAATTAATATATCAAATCCTAAATTATGATTCAGCTATATTTTATTTAAGGTTTCCTACAAGTTATATTAGGTACATTATATTTGAGAAAAATGATGGAGGATCCTAATCTAATTAAAAAGTTTAAAAATACATCTGAAAGCATGAAATCAAAAATGTTGATCAGTAATATAATTTTTAAATGGCTAAGTATCAATTTTATTTTTTTTTATTTTAGGATCCTCATGTATCTTGAGAATATTAAAATATTCCATACTTTGTTTTTAAAACATTTATTTTTTTATCTACTGCACTAACTCAAATTATTATTATCAAATAAATTTTATTTACCATATCACCATCTATCGTAAATAGTATTAAATATAAATAAAATTAAAATAAAACCTATATGTACTTTTTAATAATAATAGTCCATTGGAACATACCTTCAGAAACATGGAACATACAAACGGCATCTTTCGATTTAGCGGAGCGCAACAGAAAACGTATCTTGTTCTAAGAGGCAGTGCTACATGTTGAATCATGTCAGCGAGGAATTTAAAATCTTCCATATTACACATAAAGTACAATGAATCATCTACAGTACAAATTTCTTCAAATATACTCTGAAAATATTAAAATCAACAGATCATATTAAAAATAATTTAGTAAATCCTTAAGTATAATGAAACCTCTCCAAACAGATACTTTTTTCTAATGAACACCTCTTTCAATAAATAATCTTTAGCGGCCCTAGTCTGGAAATATAAAAAATTAGACTCCTTTTTAACTTCCATCCTTTAGATAGAGACAAACAGCCAAATATTTGTCACCAAGAAATAAATTTAAAGAGAAAAAAAAATGTTAAAAACTCTGGTGCAGTTTGGACTTCCCACAACTTTTATTTACCATCCTACTTTGGATTGAAAAGGGTAAAGGGTAGTAAAAGTAAAAATTATAGAAATTACAAAATATTAATTTAAAACAATTAATTACTATATTATTTGTACCTGTCTAATCTATTCAACTTATGCATTTTTTGTCACTTCAGTTCAATACGATCTTACATCTGAAATTTCAAAAAATGAAAAAATAATTTTATTCTGCGACAACCCCCTAAGAATAATAACAGAGTTATATAATTAAGAACATCAGTCTGGCTTAGATGAATACAAAATGATGCCTAATTAACTGTTGATTGTTATTGCAACTGTGTAGTTGATTGAATTAAACTGTGTACAGACGCCAGTAAATCTTACATGTTTGCGGAAGTTTGAATATGGAGTAAGTGATAGAACAGGAGTTGTTTGAAGGAATTTGTGGACGCGGATTGTCGTATGGAGTTAGGCAGAGAGTTCTAAAAGGAGGTAGCACGAATGATGAAGGATTTGCTGAAGGAAGTAGTTTTATGAAAGGGGATATATAAATCTATAGGTTGAGACCTGGTATTGAGAGAGTGGATAGAGGAATGTAGAGTAAGGAGTACCAGGATGTAGGGAGTATTTTTGATTCTGAGGACTTGGGAAAAGATAACATCAAGGAGGAATTGTTGTCGGGAAGTAGGATAAAGCCACTTCAACTCGTTGTACCTGAATGAAACATGGTAACACAAGGGAATCCCAAAGATGTATCTTATAAAACAGATCATGAGCTTCTTTGATCTCATTTCTAGCCTGGCAGATAGCCCTCTATACATGAAGTAACCGTGGTCGAGATGGAGGAATATAAGGGAGGTTACAAGGAGCTGTCTGGTTTTTAGAGGAATACAATCACGGAATCTTAGGAGTTGTTTAAGGATGGTTATGGATTTAATTTAATTTAAAAGGCTGTGGTGTATCTGGATCATTTCATAATTTCGGTCAAATTTGGACTTCAATTATTTAGCTCCTTGTTAAATTTTTTAAACACATGTGACACTCTTAAAATGAGCCTTTCTTGATTGAAATGTTAATGAATATTTTTCCTTCATACAATTATTAGATAAGTCATTGTATCCTTTCTCAATAGCTCTAGTTTTAGAACGCCCTCGTTAAATAGTTTTAGGTTTAAAGCTTATTATGTAAGTGCATCTGAGTTACATGTAATAAGAAGGGAGAAATCCGCATTTCCCTTTTTTTTTCTGGGCCCTATAATTAAATTTTTACTAATCCAATGTATGACAAATATGGTGCCATGAAGATAAAGAAATACAAAATAAATATTTAACGGCTTTCAGTTGTTTGTATGCGGGGGTTTTAAGGCGTATAACTTCAAGGTCATCAACGCCTGTAAATTAATTTTGTTTATCACTGAATTAAATTTCAAAAAGCTTTTAAATTTTATTTAACAAATTGTTTTATTTCAGGCAATGTAACACTAACTTTATTGTGTTTTCAAACTTTTTTAGAATGTTTGATATTGGGGATGTGTAACTCTTGAATTGATTTGAGATGTAAAAAGAACATTCTTGTAATATTGGCTGACATTAAGTGTATTATTACAGTGGTGGAATTTCGACAGTGGCAATTTGCTAATGAGATAGGAACGAGTCAGATTGATATGGGCTATTCTGTCGGTTTAAGACAACCTCGCCTCTAAAGATAGAGTGATTTGATGTTGACTATGGCTTCAATGTTTTTTAATATCTTTTAATTTGCTAGGCGAGTTCTTATTCCACATGAATTCCCAGCTATGAAGTATTACTTTTTTGAGATGTTTTCAGTTGTGATTTGATCCTATTTCAGTGAAACAAACATCAAAATTGAAATGAAGCATATAAGAATTCAAAAAGGGGGAGGGGATTACTTTTGATTTGCTGTGAACAACATATCAATTAATTGACAAACTTCTAAAAAATATTAATCAGTTAAAAAAATTTTGGGGGCGGGGTGGCCGAATGGGCTAAAGTGTGTGCACAGCACCGCGAGTTGCCTGGCAACTGGATAAACAGATTTGAGAAGATTAAAAAGTACGAGTTCACGTCCCGGTGCCGGAGGGGATTTTAAATTCTCCGCCCTCACCCCCCCATGAGGTGATTTAGGCCCGTATAGCCTAAAAGGCAAGGTAGGGAAGAAAAAAAAAAAAAAAAAAAAAAATGTTACTATAAAGTTTCACTAAAAATATAAAAGCTTACAATCAAATTGGAAAGGGTAGAATGAGGTAAGTGGTAGGCGTACAGTTCTATCTGCTCAGCAGTAGGATGCAATCCGGCCTTTGTTATAGGCTCAGGAGGCTGCTTCAACAGTGACTGAAGAACTGGCAAATCTTCAGATTTGAAGGTTGTAACATATCCCTTAACAATAAAAAAATAAAATTAAAAGTAAGACACAAAACAGTACATTGTTGCTTAAACTGTGATACTTCAAAATTCCTTGCCCAAAAAAAAAAAAAAAAATTATAATTTTCTGCCATAAATACTGATACAAAAGCTAAACTTTGCCTACATCCTTAGGTATTATTTAGATAATCCTTACCTCTAACAGGTTATTTTCTTTACATGTCAGGATAATAATCTCAATTAGTTTGTATTTTTCTTTCGCTCAATTAACATGGAGTGGGGTGATATAGAAAACCGAATAACTTAAACAAAACAAAGTTGGAAAATGTAGGTCACAGATTTTCAACACTTTGAACTCTTTGGGTATTAGCCGTATGTTCGTTTACCGCACTATAAATAGATATAATTAGACCCTATCTGTATGTGACAAACTTCGACTGGGCCGTACCCACACTATGAGAATGACAAATGCAGTTAGAGCAATGGTTGCTTAAATCAGAAGAAATCCCATTCGAAAATAACAAATCATGTCAGATCAATGTCTCGCATAACAAAAAGTGACCTTAGGATGCGTGCATTTCGAAGAAAGACACGTCAAAGGTTGCTCCTTGGCCGTTAGACCAATGGTCTTCATCGAAAGATTTTGTTTAGCGATGAGAACATTTTTACAATTGAAGAAAAATTTAATCGCCAAAATGATCGTGTGTACGCACACAGCTCTAAAGAAGCCCAGGAAGTCATTGGAAGAGTGGAAAGAGGTCATCACCCTTCCTCAGAGTTGGTTTGGTGGGGAGTTTGCTTTGATGGCACCACAAGGAGTTAAAACAGCCACTTAAAACTATCAGGACAATATTTTGGAACCTGTTGTCAAGCCTCTAAATGATACTCTATTTGCTGGAAGTCATTGGGTTTTCCAGCAGAATTCCGCTCCAGCTCACAAGGCCAGATCAGCTCAGCAGAGGCTGCAAAAGAACATTCCAGAGTTCATCTCAGTCTCGGATTGGCCCTCAGGATGCCCTAATCTCAACCCACTAAATTATCGGCTTTGGTCTGAACTGGAGAGGTTGGCATGCCACAGAGAACACCATAGCTTGGAAAGCCTCAAATAATCTCTATAAATCTATAAATGGGCAGTTGAGCGCTTTCCTCAAGAAATGATGCGTGTTGCTATTGATGACTGGCCACAGAGATTTAACACCTGAGTCAAAGCAGAAGGGGGATATTTTGAGTAATTTCTTTTTTGTTTTACTCTCTATAGATATACATTTTATTTTCTAATAAAGTTTTTCAAAAAATTAATTTTCTGGTGAAATCTGTGTATATTTTCTTGTAACAATATTTATGACAGGACTAGGTATACATATAGGTACTGATCATACCTCGATCTCTTCACATTATTTGAGAATGAACTCAGTTCAGTATAATCTAGAGCAGAGGTATCCAAACTACGGGCTGCAAAGGTTTCTTTTTTTTGGATGGTAAAATTTTAAAAACAATTAAAACTTAGTAAATCAACCAAATAAAATCTTAAAAAGCTCATGTATAGAACCAACATTTTTTTCATTACAAGCCATGGCCCGCGAACCAAAAACTTTGGAAACCTCTGATCTAGAATGTTGATTATTCGCTATTTTGATCATTTTTAAAATATAAAACTAGTATTTTAGTGTAGAATCTAAAAATAGTATTTTAATAAATATAGGTGATATCATTACAATATATATCCTACAAAATTATGGTTTCTTAATTTTTTTTTTTAGTTTACTTTAGATGTATCAGAGCTTAAGCAACCTAATATTTACTATATGTAGTTCAAATAATATTTTAAAAATTGAACTTACTTTTTCAAATTGGGTACCAAACCTTCCTGCTCTCCCTGCAATCTGAAGTGCCTGTGATATAGAAATAATGTCTATTTCTTTCTCACCTTTTTCATTAGTAGTTGGCTTTACAAGTGAGTAGAAAATGACTCTTCCAATACTCCTATAGAAGTGAAACAGTGACTTTAGATTTATACAATCATTTAGAGGGAAAAGAACTATTCTTAGTTTTAAGTATTATTTGGGCATACAAAACGCTTTTATCCGTCTCCAGATAGCAGCGGCTAGAATGGGTTTACAGATTAAGGAATCAAAAACAAAATACATGCATGCAGGCCCACAACTGGATGTGCACGAACCATCACACTTTATGGATGAAAGCTTATCATTTGAAAGAGAGAAAGAGTTTGTCTATCATGGTTCACAAGTAAAAGCGGATAATGACATAGAAGCAGAAATCCATTGCAGAATTATGTCCACGAATAAATGCTATTTTGGATTACTGAAGCATTTCAGGAGCAGAGCTACGTCTCAAAACAAGAAAGTGCTATTGTACAATACCCTGGTAAGACCAGTTCATACTTAAGCCTCTGAATGCTAGACATTGCCCAGTACGCAGGAAGCCTTTCTCCTAAGGTTTGAGAGGAGAATATTGAGGAGAATTTATGGCCTAGTATGCACCAATGAAATCTGGAGGACAAGGAAGAATGCTGAGCCAACAAGACTCTACAAGAGCTCAGATATCATAAGGGTAATTAAAATAGGCTGGAATGCACAGGTTATATAATTATAATGACCTTGGATCAGATTCCTAGGATTGTCCTAGGCACTAGCGGATCCAGGATTTAATTTTGGGGGAGGCTTCAGCCCGAAAGATTTTTTTTCATATACATATAACGATAATTAATTTGAAAAAAAAATAAAGAAATTAATTACATATATGAAATGGTGTTTAAGTGGTTCTTGAAGTCCTATTAAATATAATTACATGAACAAGAATACTTTAAGAGATAGTTTTTAATATTTTTTTCTGTAAAACATGGTTACATTTTACCATTTTGGGGGAGGGGCCTTCAGCCTGAAAGCCCTCCCCCCTCCTCTCTCCCCGTAGATCCGCCAGTGGTCCTAGGCAAAAGATTCATGGAACAAGAAGAGTGGGAAGACCTTGGCTCCAATGGATCGATGGATTGACCGTGAATACCTAATCCATTTTGGGAATCCGCCATTGAAGAGAATCAGCAACTGATAGACAAGACTGACGGAACACGCTGCAGGACACCTTAACTCTATAGAAGTTGTAGCACTACAGATGATTATGACAATACGAAACTAAGTAAAATCTGTCAAATTAAGAAAGAAAAAAAAACTTGAGTTATTAGTCCTTTCAAAATATTATTATTTAGTCTATTTTGTCAAACAAATAACCTTGAAAAAGGAAAGATTTTCTTCTAAATTAGTCTAGTTTTAATTAGACACACTTTAGCACAATTCAAAGGACTCCAAAAGATACAACCAAATCTATTCTAACCAGATTGGGTAGGTGGAGATTCATTCTGTGGTTTCCACATAAAATAAATTTCAACCTCCACAGGCCAGATTCAAACCTGCGTCATTGGATTTAAGAATGTTAAAACAGGCAATGCCTCAACTCACTCAGCCATCCTCTAAGAATACATCTTATATCTGAACAAACTTTTATACTTAATGTAAATCATTTAATGATAGACTTTGTTACACTTACAAGTTCAGTCCCATTCCGATGGCGTCAGTAGCAACTAAAAGTTTACAAGAATGTTCTGGATCGTTGAATTTTTGAGCTTGAGCTAGTTTCGTACCAGGAGGTAGACCACCATAGATAACAGCAGCTTCATGCCCCTTAACTTCAAGCGCCCGACTGACCTAATACACAAAGTTTAAACAAATATAAAATTACAAGGAAATACATTTTTCTGAATTATTTCATAATATTATTTGACAAAATTGATTCTATTTTTGGTTTATTTTGATCATAATTTAAAAAAAAAAAATGCACAATTGAAATTGTACCATAGATGATAAGTAGAAACAGTGATAACTTTGATGATATAGATATCACAGAAAACACGCTTTAATACACACAGCAATTTAAGTACATAGGGTTTATTATAAATGACAGAAATTCGATGAAGAGGTGATTATACATTGTATTTACATAGTAAACATAATGTTTATAAGGTTTTATGAATAAACAAACAAATCAACTACAGATCCATTTTCCACCTCAACGTTTTTGACAAATGAAAGGGAGTTTCTTGAAGGATTAATGTGTCCCAGTTTTGATTCTTTAATTCTTATTAATTAAAAATGAAAGCACTATAAACATTCTAAAAAAAAGGTAAGTTGAAAATACAGATGAGACATCTATACATAGACGCATATCATAATATGTTACTTTAATAATATTGTATCTTTATCTATTTATTTCTGTGCTACAACTCAATGACGAGTCTTTGTTAATAATTGTCCGATTTTTACAATTTTTTTGTTTTGTAGGTAATTTAGTAATCTTTCCAATTATCATTGCTATAATGAAGAAAAAAATGCATAATTTTTGAGTTATTCGCAAATAAAGTTTCTTTTCCTTCATAACTTTTTTCCCTTAAATTTAGGAGGATGTGACTATTTTTCCCACCTAAGAATGAGAGCTAAATCATTGGATTTTATGAAGAATTGACGAAGTTATGGCGTTGTGACAAAAAAAAACCTTTTAGAAATAATATATAAGATCAATTTTAAAGTATAAATATAAAACTTCTCCCTTACTGAATAGATATCATTCTTGTTAAAACACACAATACAGTCACCCGCTTTGACATTTTCCAACGATTCTAGAGCCTTCTCTTCGACTGTCAGTTCAGTCAACCTCTTGTATTTGCGTACCTATAAAGCAAAAATAGTTAATTGTGTGATATTATATTACTGCCATTTTAGAATAATTGAATTTTAATATATAATATCAATATATTATAATATATCACCTCAACTTCCTCATTGCACATAAGTGCTAAAGCAGACAACAAATCGAAAGCTGCTTCCTCACCACACAGGTGTATTTCTTCGGCCATCAAACCAAGCAGGGCTCTCGTCCAAGCCCATCCACGACTTGGGTCTCGGACTAGTTGGATCTCATCTATCACAGCAACTTCATCTAGACACATGTAAATTATGCAACAAAAATTTTAGATGCCTTTTAATTTTAGTTGCAAATTTTAGATAGCAGCAAAAAATCTGTTATTTGCTCAATAAATTGGTTATAATAGCACTTAAATATACTCATTCGATAAGGCAGCAATATAAAATTAAATGCATTTATTAATGCAATCCGAAATACTAAAATAAAAACACATGTAAGTCAAATTTAGGAACATATAATTAATTAAATTAAAATTTTGTGGACGCAGTATCCTCTGCGTAGAGTTTTATTATTTTATGAATTGATCAGAATCAGTTCTTTGACACTATAAATCATTGGTAATTTTATGATAACAGATAGATAAATCAGTTCTGTACTTAACAAAAACAAATCCATTAACTAACTGAAAAATTCCTAAAATAATGAAATATAAGAGGAAAGTAAATATAATAGAATATAGACATAGGCCTAATCCTTAAAAAATATAAGTGAAAACTTAATTTTTAACAGCATTTATTCTCTCTCCCAACAATTTTTGTTTGTTTTTATGACGTTTCGGAATCACTTTCTTATCCCATCTTCAGACAGTATCTCAATCCTTCTTTTATCATCTTATTTTTTTAAAAAGATTTGTCATAATTTTTATATTTTGAAAAATCAACCCTTAATTATTAAAATATAAAAAAAAAAAAAAATTATGACAAATCTTTTTAAAAAAATAACATGATAGAAGGATGAGATACTGTCTGAAGATGAGATAAGAAAGTGATCCCGAAATATCATAAAAACAAAGAAAAATTATTAGGAGAGTAAATGCTGTTATTAAATTTTATTTACGTGCCTCAGATAAATACATCTCCCTCAGGACTTATGAAGAAAATAAGTGAAAACATCATAATAGAATACCGCTTGTCATTTTTTTTTACCATATTTAAAGATATTAATATTGAAACAAGATTTTACTGACTAACTCATAAAGAAAAAAAAAAAACTCACAAGTTTCACTTCGGCATGGGAGATGGGCATAAGATCAACATGATCACACTGTAGATGGAGTTTCAAAAATGGATGAATAAAGACAATCATATTCGCTGGTATAACTTCTGTTTATTTAGATTGCAATTATCAACTTCGACTGGCTCAAAAAAAAAAAAAACCATTGGTTTCTTTTGATTTAAGGTTGGGACCTTAGCAAAGGGATCTGTTTCCTCTGTCTACTTTTGCCATTTTCAGCATTGCATCTACAGTATGATTATATGATCTTGAGCCTATTCATCAAGTTAGAGTGACACTTACTAAACATAAACGATCACTTTTACTTACAAGGAGTATTTATGGATGTCATTTCTACAGTACATGATATGTGACTAGCTGGATTGTCTTCACCTAGGGCATATTTTCGTTCTTCACCAGTCACCAAATCACATGGGGTTCCCTAAAAACATTATCTGGTCAAAATTTAAAAATACCTCTGATACCAAACAAATATTAAAGAAGTATATGAAACTTAACATAGTGATTTACAAGGAAAAGTACAATACAACACTGAAATCCCACAAAATTATTGTGAACAAACATTTTACCTAATATATTTCAAATAAAATAAAATTTCTAATAGTGTGGAGATGCTTGATCATATTTATAATTTTGAGAAGAAGCAGGTCAGGGGTGCGGTCAATTATATAATACTATATCATACAATAGTATTTTTTATTATTTTTCAACCTTTCGACCCATACAACATTAAATTGGATCATCAACACATACTGATTACTACACACTAATTGGAAGTGGTTATTGTTGGAATATCACAAAGGGAAAATTCATCAAATTATTCACTAATTTGTGGGTAAATAGTTGACTCGTGAATAATGAAGAGAAGAATGGTTGGGGCGATCAGTCAGAAATAAGAAGGCAAAAATAAGTGATAATATTTATTTTGACAATTGCGATGTTTCAACCTGAACTTCAGGTTATCACTTATTTTTGCCTCTTATTTCTGACTGATCACCCCAACCATTCTTCTTTTCATTATTCACTAATTTAATTTTTTAAAAGGTTCCATGATATGATGATTTTTCGGAATAAACGGACGATAGATATCTAATTACTTAAGTATAATATCAGATCTAGAGTTATTTAAGAACCCCAACAAAATACAGTAAATATGCTTAAGGTTATAAACATATCCATGAAATATTTTTATATTTTACTTCTTCTTTCACAAAAGTAAAATGAAATAGTTTCTTAAACAGCTTGAATCCGTGGATTTTAAACATTTTTTCAAACCAAAAAAAAATGTTAAAAGTATACATTTAGTAAGAGAATTTCATTTAATTTTCTTCAAAACATGTGATTTAGGTAAAATGTTAGTTTTTAGAAATTATTATTTATACTTTTTTCGTCACTCTCCGTTACCTTCTACAATTTTCTATATTATATATTGTTTTTTCTGAAATCCTCCGATTTTCAACGACATATTGTGCGTATAGTTCTGGAGATTTCTTCTGATTTCTGGAGATTCATTTTTGACCTGGATAAGCATTTTTATTTTTTTCTCCTTCGTTCAATTATCAAATTCTTTCAAAAGTTATATTTAGCATTTTTTCGTAACTCTAAATAATGTGAGATGATTAATTATTTAAAATAAACCATATGAAAAGTATTTAAAAGGAAGACAAATATGAACATTGGGCATTTAAGCCCTGTAAAGTGACATCAATGGGGATAAGAATTGATATTAAAGACCACTTCAATAAAATTCGTAAAATGATACACTGAGTTTAATAAAAATTGTTAGAGCCGTTTTTTAGAAACATGTCAAAATGTGCTTTAGAGTTGATATAAAGTGGCACTAGGCGATTTTAAGGAAAAAGTTGCAGTCACATATAAGGCATATACCAATATTAGAAACGTAATATCAGTTTCCTACGACTTTTTGTTTTTGGGATAGACTGCTAACATACACACACACAAACATACAGACTCACAGACCATTTTGCGGAACTTGGTTATTTGGACTCAGGGCATCTCAAAACATGTATTTCAGTTGAAAACTCAGATTCGGAAATTTATACAGGTAAGTGAAAGTAAAAATCAATACAACTGTTTAACAATAATTCTTCAAAGAAGTGACATCAATAAGGTGAAAATTAAGTAATCAGATTATAGTAGTGTTGATAATCCAAATTAAAGTTGTATGGGTTGGTTTGAGTAATGAAAATCCACTAAAAAAAAATTTAAATCAACCAATCACATTGGTACAAAAAGCATCTTTATTTATTGGTAGTACATACTCCAAAAAGGTAACAGCTCTTTCTGATAATTACACTTTTAAGAATTGAACCAATGGTGCCCCTCATTGAAGAAATGTTTGAAAATTATTAAATATGGTACAATCACATGTACAGAAAATAACTACAATTAAACATTTAACTTAAATCTTAAGCTTTAATAAATGAAAGGAAATTTGAGCATGAAATCAATCAAAATTATTGCATCATATAATAATATTTTTACTTTGACGTTTCAACCACAGTATCACAATGAAATAACAACCACAAAGATTATGTTATCAGATAAACTTATTCATTTAATCAACAAAAACAGATGGTTTTACATTATTTCATATTAATGATAAAATAGTTAATGGCAATACTTCTATGATTAGAATTCAAATTTCCTTCCATGGACATTGGTTATCGAGCATTATCACAGAAATGTGAGGACATTGAAAGAGAGCTAAAAATTAATTTTTTTAGGTGATAAAATACAATTAGAAAAATTAGAAACCTCACTCTTTCATTAGCCTTTTTGTAAACTTCAGCTGCTAAAAGTTTCAAAGGTCCACAATAAACTCCAGACTTAGCTGACAGGAATCTCTCTAGTGCATGATATGTTTTACCACTATTCGTTGGACCAGCGTGTAGAATAATTTTACGTTTCATGTCTCGAGCATTAGGATACCTAAACAAGATCTAACATTAATAATAAAATATTGAACGTATTAAAAAAAAAAGAAAAAAAGATAATCAATCAAACCATGAAGGAGGAGAGGTAAGATCACTAATTCTTTTCAGATCATCCATGCATTCCAAATGAGGAAACATCTCTCTCGCATGTCTTAAATAATAAGGGAGTATATCAGTTATGTGAGCCGTATTATGAAGTACATCGTTAATCACTATATGGAGGTCTGCTGGAAGACATTCTGATTCGATACAGAATTTTCTAAAACCTAAGTAGACTTGGTGTTGTAAATAACCTTGAACAAATAATGATCATGAGGTTCATTAAATTTTTAATCATAATTAACGGTTTTAACAAAAGAATCCTACATACCATCCAGGCCATTTTCTTCTGCGACAGATTTCACCTCAGCTCTCTGATAGAACTTGTTTAAAACTTTGGCAATGTCGGTTTTGTTCAATGTACCACCAGTAAGCTCCTTACCTACCCCATCATCTTCTGAATTAGGTTTTATAGGGACAGGAGTAAATAATGAAGAAAGATTTATAGAAGTCTTTTTCCGGTTTCTTCTACTTTCATACTGATGTAAGAAATAAGAATAACTCGGCACTATTTTGGGCCCTTCTAGCAAGCCCAACATTTGATTATAAGAAGACAGACGCAGTGACTTTTTTAAATGATACATAATTATGGTAAAAATTACAAAAAAAAAATTAAATTAAATCCATGCTTATCAACAACGTGAAGGTTTGTTTTAGGGAAGGCTATCAAACACCGGGTGCTGATAGTAGAGCTATCTAGTAGGTTTTACGTAAACTAAAAGAACTTCTAAAGTAGTTGTGCGTTGATAGATCGCGCTGCACTATTGGAGGCCTAAAAAAATAGAGATTGACCATTTCTATATAAAATAACAATTAGTCTGTGATACAGACCCCTTTTTATCAAATTATAAATATCCGCCTGAAACTTTGTAAATAGCTTCATCTCATCGTAAACTACAAATATTTTATTTACGAAAATTCTTGGAATTGATGCGTTTTCAATCTGGAGATCGGCAAATTTTGTCTATTTAATTAGGTATTAAAAACTCGTAAATATCCTTTTGATTTCCACTCGAATCCTAGGATAACTTGAGCACAAAGTCGAGAAAAAAGGCGGCCATAAAAAATATTGAGCCGTTTGGCGTGATCTACACCCCAAATTGTCAAAATAATGAGGTTAGATAGGGTAAACGGTCGAATATTTTTGTAGGCCATCATTTTTATATATTTTGTGATCAAATTATCTTACAATCCAAGTGGAAAGCAATTGGTTATTTACGATTTTTTAGTATCGAATTAAATAGACAAAGTTTGCCTATCTCCAGATTGAAAACAATCCAATTCCGAGAATTTTCTTAAATAAAATATTTGTAGGTTACGATGAGATGAAGCTATTTACGAAGTTTCAGGCGGATGTTAATAATTTGATAAAAAGAGGTCTGTACCATGGACTAAAGGTGCATTTAGACATTTCAAAAACTACAGGATAAATAAATATATAAATGGGGATTTCACTATGCTACTATTTTTGTTTTTGTTTTTTATATGTTCAATCTGCTGTTGGTATCAAGAGAAATAAAATAAGTAGTTTGGTATAGCAATAATGTCGCTGTTAATTAAGTTTGATAATTATGCTTCCCATAGTTTGTGAAATATCTAAACTCACATTTAAATTAATAAAAACTTTGATGAATTTTCTCTATGCGAAATCAAAACATTGCGTTCTTATTTTTATATATAAAAGGGTTTGTCCCAATTTGGTATATTTCCTGTGTTTTTTTTTTCTATAAATAAAGTCGAAATTCACTCTAAAATGACCTGTATGGTAGGGTGGATAAATTGCAGGAATCTAACTATAAAGGTTTTCGGTTCGAAACCGCTTAGATTATTTTTCTCGACCTTCTCCTGCAAGAGAATAAGATTAAGTATATTCTTAAAACAGAAGGCTCAGCAGATCTTCCGACAAATCTCCAAAAAGGGATTGCGGCAGATCCATCTAAATGGAAGAGAATAATAAGGGAGGACACCATTGAGCAGTGGAATCAACGGTGGGTAACAACTCATAAAAGCTCTACCTTGAGAAAATACTTTCCTACCGTCTAATTAAGGTTAGAAGCGAAATGGGTCCTCCCTGATTATGGGATGTCACAATTCCTCACAAGACATGGAGGGTAGTTAGAGATATTACTGTAATTTTTCAGGTAGGGGAAACCTAACTAAGCCCGAATGAAAAATTGGAAGAATTAAATGCAAAAGTATATTGCTTATACTAATTCTTTAGATATAGTAACTAAGATCGTCAAGTCACCATCATACACTATCATTATCATAGGCACATCATTACAACCCGGTACGGGTCTTCGCCGCATCAATACGTCGCCTCTATTCCTCTTTGTCTTGTGCAATTTCTCTTAAGTCCATTCCTCTAGTGTCCAGAAGCTTCTCTGCGTCGGCTTCGACCTCATCTGCCCATCTCAGTCGTGGCCATCCTCTCTTTCATCTATCATACACATATCCGAACAGTACCTGTTTGATAAGTGAGTCCCCATCCATCCTTGCGACGTGCCCAGCCCATCTTAGACAAGAGAGCTGTATAGATTGCACCACATCCAGTTCCCGGTAAATATGATACAACTCCACATCATGCCTTAGCTTATACTGATTATCAACTTTTACAGGACCAAACATCATCCTCAGGATTTTTCTCTTGAAAACCTGCAACCAGATTTAATAATACAGGTCTATTAAGAGATATGCACAGGGAAATTTTAATGGATCTAGCCAGCAAATGTCTTCTTATAATTTTAGCTAAGCCAAACTATCACCTATTAGCTTACGTAATTCTTCTTTGTACTGCTTGGCTAGGTATATTTTCTGCACAAACTAAGGACTCTAGATACACGAAATTATTTACGCTTTCAAATGTGTATTCTTCAAATGTAATTGTGGTGGTGGTGAGTTGGCAATCATATATTTGGTCTTAGTTTGGTTAATACTTAGACCCATTACCTGTCCTGCTGCCTCTATAGCTAAGAAGGCCCTTTCTAAGTCCCTCTGTGATCTAGCTATAATATCTATGTCATCTGCGTAGGCTAGAATTTGTACTCACTTGGTGAGAATCCTACCATTTCTTTGCACTTCGGAGTCTCTTATCACCTTTTCTACTGTAAGATTAAAGAACAGGCTTGATAAGCCATCTCCTTGCCGTAGGCCCCTTGTGGTCGTGAATGCCTCTGACAGGTCTCCCTGTATTCTGACTAGACACCTTGATCCTATCATCAGCAGCTCTGTAAGTATTCAATTCAAAGGGAATATTCATTGTTTCCATAGCCTGGTACAACTTCTCTCTTATGACACTGTCATATGCACTGCTAAAATCTACAAAAAAGTGGCGTGTGATGATATATTCTTTTCTTGTTCTTTCAAACAGGGCCCTTAAGGCAAAGATTTGATCAGTGGAAGACTTCCCTCTCATGAAACCACATTGGTTGTATCCACCCCTCTTTCTGCGTACGGAAGTAGCCTCTGATAGATGACGTTATAATATAACATTATAATATAAGTGCAATTGAGGAGAGTTATGCCACGTTAATTATTATAGTTGGTTTGATCTCCCTTTTTATGGAGAGGGATGATGAGGCTAGGAATGGTCTTAGTTATCAAATACTATAGAAAGGTCACGGATAACTTTGATAAGTTCATTTTCTCCAGCTTTCAGAAGTTCCATGGCTATGTTATAAGATCCTGGGGCTCTGTTGTTTTTATGTTTTTGGATGAAGTCATAGATTTCCTGGTGGATCGTTTAACTCAAAGCCATTGAGGAGCTGCATACATTTTTTCAAAGTTCCATTAAATAGTACAGATTAAAAACAAAAATTAATTTGACGAACCAGGAATCAAACATGTATATTTTAAACATTATGAATACTTAGTGAAAGACTTCTTAAGACACTAATTTATTTTGTTTACGTATACGAAGTGTGGCTATTAAATAATGAGACATGTAGTGTAAAATATTTTATTTTAATTTCACACATATTTACCTGTTATCACCTTCAATACACTCCCCTCCTCAATCCTTACAACGCTCCATGCGAATCTTCCATTGTCTGGAACAGTGCTGGAAGTCTTCTGTCAGCTCTTTCAACATGCGTATTGCTTTCTCTTTCAGTAAAAATATGAATGCAGTATTGTTTATTAATAGTTTGACCTTCCAGAAACCAGTGAAGGTGCTCAATGCCTTGTATATAGAATTTAAAAAAAATATTTGCTTTGAATCTTGACTTACTCATTCGAGGATTTTTGGCTTGAAGTTAGGCAGCGCATGGGCTGACGTTTCATATCAGAATAAGTAAAACAACATAATTCGTCAATTTATGTTAAATGGAACAAGAGTTGAATCTGTGAAAAAGCGGCATGTATCCTGAAAGAATCGACGAAAAAAATGGAAGATTCGCATATAGGGATAGCGGAGGATGTATATTGATGGCATAGGTGCAGACTTCAAAGGGCGAGGGGGAGGGGGGCATGCCTCCCTGACAAAAATGTTGTGAAAGTGAGAATACCCACCTCACCGCCAATAATTTGAAATTAAAAAAATTAGAATTGACAGCAAATACGCTATATGAATGAGTAAAATATGTAAACTAAAACGGATTAAGAAAATACGAAATGTCCAATATTGGCTAAGCTAAAGCCTATAAGTAGGTATATAACAATTTTATCACGACCTAAATATTCCTATTATTTAAATTTTCATTCATATTTAGTAATAATAATATAAAACATATTCTTGAATTTTATTAAACATTCACCTTTAATGTGGACACCTTCATTTTCAAATGATTTTCTTATAAAATATACTTAATAAGTACAAGTATAATTATATTTTATAAAGAACGTTTTTTATAGACATGTATACATAACTAGTCAGACTGTGAAAACGTTTCATTTCTATTTGGAGATTATACAAACTAAGAAATCAAAATTATTTTTCAGTTTTTAATATTATTCATATTTAGCTGAAAGAGTTCTACAAATGTACCTATGTTAGGAAAGATATCCCCGTTCCTCTCACGTTTAATCTATACAAATTACAATATACATAATTGTTTTGTTTATATTTTCAAATATATACAAAAGCAAAACAAAAAATCCGACAACTTTCTAAACATATATATAAATTAATTTTTAAATATCCAATATTATATTTGTTCGTTTCCCAATAGTTATGTTGAATTGTTACACAAGACGTGAACTACCACCATTTTGTTTTTGAAGGTGATAATAAGTAAACATGTATCAAACAAAATTTTTTTTCATTATCAGCTTCCTTATTTAGCCACATCTTGTACATCTCCTACAAGAGAAAATACATTTTTTAATAAAGTAGAGAGATTTAAGATTTACTAAAAAAATATAATTGACTATTTTACAATTCTATTTCATTAAATTATTCAGTATTTCATTATATTCGTGGCGCTTTAATCAAGTTTGGATATATTGCAGATATCTTATATAGAGATATCTATATTCCACGAGGTGTGGCTATTAAAGAAAGAAACTGATACTGTAAAACATTTTATTTTGATTTCATTGATATTTATCATTGATATTTGTATATTTATATTTGATATTTATCATTGATATTTATCATTGATATTTGATACATGTCGAATTTTGATCGGGAGGGAATTCCAAAAGTGGACAGAGCGGGATATAAAGGAATTTTGGAATGAGGCAGATCTATGAGAAGGGATGTATAGGTCAAAGGGTCGGGATCTTGTAGTGAGGGAATGGATTGAGGACTTAAATTGGAGAAGGTTGTAGG